TTAATTCTCTGCTGAAAATAGTTTCTATTAGTCTGAGAATCAATCGCTCTGATACCAATTTGATAGGAACGCGGAAGGTTGCTGATGAATTTGTTCTGGTCTTATAAGCTAGTGATAATGGTTTGGTTAGATAGTAGATGTATTAGCTGAATCTAAAGGAAATTGGTGAAATGGATATATGTATTGAATTGAAGAATGTAAGAACAATTATTATGCAATGAAGAACAAGAATGTAAATGACAAATTCCCAGGCATTCGAGAGGTCACAGTTCTATCCCCACTTTTCTAACAAAATTTACGGAATGAATTCTCCCCAGCCCTACCATGACATTTATAAATATTCTACTATACCTCCCCACAATGACATTTATAGATATTCTACTATACCTCTATTCCCCATTTTATCCCTTTGCTAACTAATTAGTGGAACATTCTAGAATCTTGAATGAACAACTTGTATGAGTAAATCTTATTGGAGTTGGAATGCTATCATATTCCAGCTCAAGAAGCTGACATGAACTAAAAGGGGCTGTTGGGGGTGGTGTTCACGCTGGACACTGCTATATTTCATAGTACATACCCTTTTTCGGAGTTGTTGGTGATTGTGTTGTTAGAAAAGATTTGTATTGCTGCATCTGAGCTAATGATGAGTGTTTTAGCATATTTGTACGTCAACGTCGTAGTAGCATTTTCTTCTCCAGAATTCACGTCAACTATTTGTTAGGAATCTTTCGAGTAAATTGCGTGTGTTTTTATGGCGTGTGTTATCTTTGCTGTGCCGCGGGCCTGTCCTATATTCGGTTTGGTGAAAGTGTTGATGAATGTTGGATGCAATACAAGCACAAATATGGTTCAGTTTTGATTCCACAGTCTTTTCGTATTGCCCCGATTTTGTCATTGATTTGAAATTTGACAAAGTTGAAAGTCTTCTTAATATTTTTGCGCCACTAAGTTTGTTACTAGCCAAATATAGCTCTCTTCAATTGTAGACTTAAATTAGCAATCTACTTGTTGGTTTCGGGGTTGGTTGTATGTTTGCAGGTGCACGGGGGTTACTGGTTACATATTGTTCAGACACTGCCATGAGTTATTCCATCCAAACATAGACCTACTCAGAGACATTTTCGACTTGAAGAATTACAAAATGACCAGAAAGAAATTCTCACGATGTGGATTCGGTTTTCATATTGACAGCGATAGCAACAGCAACAACGAGGATAACAATGACAAGTTATCATTTAATGTGGAAACTAGTGACGGCCCAGTGAGGGGAAGATCATCCTCCGGGATGGATATCTCAAGTCATAGTATTGGAGAGAAGCGGAAATCCTGTAGGCAGATGGAAAAGGGGAAGAAAAAGAAATACAGGGCTAAGGAGTTGTTTTACTCGGACGACAATCTCGCCAGCGTCAGTGAGGACCTAGCCTCCAGTCATAGTCGTAGTATGAAGAGTGATGATTTGTCCTCTGTTACCGAGTGCATTATGGAGCTCGAGGAGACCGGCAAGGTGAAAAGGCAAAGTTCTTTGCATTTATTCGCTATTTCATTCCTTACGCTTCAGAAAAACAGGGCTGGCTTCGTTGCTTGCCAAGATGCTGGCACAAAGTACAAGTGGATAGTGTTTAATTTCACCAACTGGTCAAAATGCAATTCGCCTCTACCATGAAAAGATTATTTTATCATGTACCGGGTGACAAAATTTCAGACATTTTTATTTGGTTCCATGAAATGGATTGATGTATTGATTCAGTGATGTTTTAGCATTTAATTTGCACTGGAACTCGAGGCTAGATAACCGTAGCAAGGATCGACCGGCTGCTTCAATGATTTTGGACAATCCTTATCTTACAAACATCAGGTATCTACTTATCAAACTTCGATAAATTGCAAATTAAATGAAACTCCAGAGAATGGGAGACAATTGAAGTATAAAAAGAAGTGCTCTATAAATGTGACATGAATCATAAGACGAGCAAATCAATAATGGGGCCATTTTCCAAGGCGTGAATAAGCATCACAAACCAATTATTGAGAAATCACAACATTAACAGGAATACTGGAAAATCCCTTATTAGAATTGAGGAAAGTATACAGTTCTTAAATGTATCACTGATAGATCAGCCATTTTCTTGAATCCGTAACAGATTTGAGTAGAAATCGACCTAAAAACCAAAACAAAAATTGGCTGGCCAAAACAGAAAACGTTTACAAATTTAGAAACGAATAACAATCCTGTAACATAGGTCGAAGTCTCCCATTTTGTGGGAGTTAGTAGAGCAATGGGATTCAGTTTAGTGAATAGTGATGAAAAAAGAAGCAAAATGCCAATAATACAAAGCAACAGACTGAAATGTGTGATATGAAAAAGTAACATTGGAGAATTCTGAACCGCTCTACCTCACAGTAACTATGTCATCAATCTTCAAAATCATACGAACACACTCCGTAGCCAAGGAAATCGCACTTGTGCTCACCAGTAGAGGTTGCACCACATTCTCATCCATAATATTAGTGATCTGTCCCTTCCTCACATTGATCCCTGCATTGATCTCGCCCTGTGCGTGCCTATTCCTCAGCTCAGTCACAATGGTAATAGGGTTCAAACCTGCATTCTCTGCCAACGTATATGGAATAACCTCAAGAGCCTCAGCAAATGCTTTAACACAGTACCCTTCCATCCCCTGCAGCACCTTAGCCCATGCACCCAACTGCCTTGACAGCTCAATCTCAGGCGCACCACCGCCTGCAATTAGAAACCTCTTATTCACCAAACACCTAACCACACACAGTGCATCATGCAAACTTCTCTCTGCCTCATCAAGCACCAACTGGTTTGATCCACGGACGAGAACGCTGGTAGTCCTCCCCATATCCTTAATCCCTGTGATTCTGACCATCTTTCCACCATCCCCAAGCGACACCTCCTCCACCAAATCTGCATACCCCAACTTTTCAGCCCGGAAATGGTCAATGTTTGATATTGGCAAGCAATTTAAAGTCTTGGTAATGAACTCAATTTCGTCCCTCTCGACATCCTTAATCACCAAAATCTTTGCCTTAGCCAAATAATGCAGTGACAAGTCTGTCACCGCATCCCTCAAAATACTCTTCTGAATCAACAGCACATTACAACCGGTTGCCTTAATCTTCTTAATCATACCCAAAATATAGTTCCTCTCCTCCTTCAAAATCCTATCCATCTGTGTATAATCAGACACCACAATGCTTTGCTCTATGTCAGTTTTAGGCGGTGATATCTGGAACTGTATCACCCCAATCTTGGCATTTTCCATTCTGGTCAACCCCCCTGCTGCATGACTCACCTTCTTATCAAAAACCAGCCCCTTAACCAATTCAGTATCGTCAACAGTTCCCCCTAATTTCTTCACGATCTTAATATCTTTTAAGTCTACTAAATCAGGCTTAGCAGGGTCCACTACAGAAAGCACAGCATCAACAGCTAATGGGGCTAAAAGAGAAGAGTACTGAGACACAACCTTGGAATTTAAAGAAGTCGAGGCTGACTTAACCAGCGAATCATGATCCGATAACTCCACAGGAATCGCCATAGCCGTCAAAATCTCAACAGCTTTGATCGAAGCCTTGTGAAGGGCATCCGAAACAACCGTCGGGTGAATGCCAGCAGATAAAAGAGTAAGAGACACTTTCAAAAGAGCACCCGCTATAACAACAACAGTGGTAGTCCCATCTCCAGCGACAACATCCTGCGATTTCGAAAGCTCGACGAGGAATTTTGCAGCCGGCTGGAGAACTTCCATCTTATTAAGAATAGTGGCGCCGTCGTTGGTGATAATGACCTCTCCTGAAGAAGTAGAAATCATCTTGTCCATTCCCTTCGGTCCAAGACTCGTACGGACCGCGTCTGCCACCGATTGCGCCGCCGCAATGTTGGCCATCCGAATATCATCCTTACGCTTGTTGTCAATGAAAGTCTCAGTGGATTTGGTCTTCGCAACTGCCGAAGCTGCCATTTCTGTCGATTTCGAGTGTTAGATTGAATTTGTAGCAGAGAGCGTTTTGAGAAAAGAGTGCCCGATTAACCCTAGCTGCCAGACTTCTGGAGAGTGCACCATTCTTTAAATATGTCATCCGTATGCACTATTCTTTAATTTTCTAGTAAACTCTCCTTTTGAAAAAAATGAAATTACATTTTGAACCCTCATTTTTTCATGAGGTGATAATTGGGATAATTTATCGTGGACATCATGTGTGAATTTTATCTATCACGTAAGTAGTTATGTGGAGCATTTTTCAAATTTAGTAACCATCGAAATTTAAAGTTAGCTTAGAAGTCAAGATATGCCCTAAAGTTATGAAACTATTAGCCCTCGTTAGTCATTATTGAATGATGGATGGGAATATTTTCACAAGTTCCATAATTTTTGGGCAACATTTCAAAGTTCTAGTTGAAGTGACAGAACTTCAAATTAAATTATCGACAAAAACAATTAACCCATGAATTTTAACGTTAAGTCCCTTTCAATATGTTCCGCTCACATTTCGTGCTAGTTCTTACACTAGTATTAAAGTTTTATTATCGATAATGTACTATAATATTAATTTTTTTATAGCTTATTTAAATTGTAGAATTGTTTATATATTTTAAAATACTAAAAGATATTAATGCCGATATGCCAATGCTTTCTTTTTAATTAGCGTAATGCTATTCGTAGTGAAAACTGTCAGTAGTCGCCCTATGTGACATACATTTGGTAATTTGGTATTTGATACATAGATATGATAGTTATTTTTTGAATTATACATCAAATGAAAAACTGCCAAATATACGTTACATAGAGCGATTGTCTATAATCTTCCCTGCAAATATCATTATTCTTTTAATTAACTCTATTCACTTTTTGATCAAAGGGTGTAAAAGAGTTTTTATTATTTAATGTTTATTTTTAGAAGTTCCTATAATAATATTTTTTGAAATATTTAGATTGAGAGGTTAACGCCCCAAATTTTGCAGTGCATCCACGTGAACGCCCCAGATTTTTATGGTGCAACCGACTCTAGGAGATCAAGAATAGTTCACACTCCGGGGCCAAAACCCCTAACCTAGACTAGAAACCTCCCATGACGCAAACCCTTCAACGCCGAACGCGCACACAAATTTCCTAAAGACTTCACGCAGAGAACACTGTATGCATGAAATCGACCTTTTACTCTCTCTAGGTAATTTATATTCTCTCTCTAAAATGATTGTAATACAGGTTATCTCCTCCGTAATACTCATTTCAGCATACGGATTTTCCCCCTAATTTCATGTAATTTCTGATATGCATTTATATTTTCGCAGAACCCCATTTGGGTTTGTTGTGAAGTAATGTCTTTGATAGATGGTTTTCTGGGATTTTAGATTAGCATTCAGTTGATTTTATTGGTATATTGATTAAATATATGGAGCTGCAATAAGAATGTTACATGTGCTACTTCGATTTTGATTGTTAGTGATTTGTAAATCGGTGTCATTTTACTAAATGGGTATGAAGATTTTGCTGAAATGTTGATTTTGGTTGGTGGGTATGTTTGAAATATTGAGGGTAGTATTGGATTATGCTCTCTCTGCGACTGGTTCGCAGATTTGGTACCACGCCCCATATTGCTGCTGCAGCTGCTGATGTGCCATCTAATGACAAGGTTTTTTCTGCTAGGAATAGTGGGGAATCGAATGTTATGCAAAAACCTATTGAAATAGATGAACCGGCACTTGTTAAGTTGAAGAATGAAAGGGACCCCGAAAAGTTATTTAATTTATTTAAGGCCAATGCCCACAATAAGGTTGTTGTTGAAAATCGATTTGCATTCGAGGATACAGTTTCTAGATTAGCTGGTGCGGGTCGGTTTGATTACATTGAGAATTTGCTGGACCATCAGAAGACTTTGCCACAGGGCCGGCGAGAAGGATTCATAATTCGAATTATAATGTTGTATGGGAGGGCTGCAATGATCAAGCATGCTGTTGATACATTTTATGATATGCATTTGTATGGTTGTAAGAGGACTGTTAAGTCGTTTAATGCTGCGTTGAAGGTGTTGACTCAATCCCGTGATTTGGAGGCGATTGAATCTTTTCTTAGAGATATGCCTTTCAGCTTTGGCATAGAGCTAGATGTGTTTTCTATTAATATTGTTATCAAAGCATTTTGTGAAATGGGTATATTGGATAAAGCTTATCTGGTCATGGTTGAGATGGAAAGGCTGGGAATAAGGCCTGATGTGATTACATACACAACACTAATAGCGGCCTTTTACAAGGCAAACCAATGGGAGATTGCCAATGGATTGTGGAACCTTATGATACTAAAGGGTTGTCTTCCTAATGTTGCAACATTCAATGTCAGGATTCAATTCTTAGTAAATAATAGGCGAGCTTGGGATGCTAACAAATTATTGGCTTTGATGCGTTGCAGTGGGATATGTCCAGATGAGATAACATATAATTTGGTGATTAAAGGCTTTAGTTCTGCTGGATATCTTGAAATGGTGATGAGAGTTTATAACTCTTTTTGCCATGAAGGATGCAAGCCCAACCAGAAGATTTATCAGACCATGATCCACTATCTTTGTCGAGCAGGTAAATTTGATTTGGCATACACTTTTTGTAAAGACAGTATGCAAAAGAATTGGTATCCTAGTGTGGATAGCATCTATAAGCTGCTTGAAGGCCTAAGGAAGGATGGAAAATTGGACAAACTTGAAAAGGCCAAATATATTTTTTTCTTGGCTCAGAAAAGGATACCTCCGTTTTCTTGTGATCAAATCAGTGTCATGAAATCTAAATTGTCGCGAAGTTAAATTAGAACATTGGACTGTGAAGTGCATTGCATAAAAAGATATGGAGGCTAAGCAGCGGGTAACTTCCCGTATGATTAATTCCTTTATATTGAATGAAGTTGATGGGAGATGCTTTTTTGAGGGATGACACTTGGCAGCGAAGACATCCAATAATCTTCAAGTAATTTGGGGTACTGCTTTAGTAACGTGCTTGGTGAAATGGAAGCTCTAAGAGGAGAGGAACCACACAAGTTTTGGTAAGTTTTTGATGGAAATAATTTTTTTTAATTGTGTGCATGTTGATGTCCATAGATCTTTTTTTGCAAGTTTATGTCCATCAACCAATGTTCTCTTTGCATTGCATCTTCATGCCTACTGTTACACGTTGTAATGTTGATGCTTCATTTAGTGCCCTTACCTACATCAAATATTTGGAAACTATTGAACATTTTTTTAAGACTTGTGCATGTTAATTTCCTTGTAATAAGGTTTGTGATGAGGAATAGAGTATCTGTGGAAGAAGCAAAAGTATTCCTAATTGCTCTCCTTGAAGCCTTGCAATTGGTAATTTGAAAACTTCAGCCAACTAATGGTTAGTTTTGCTATTACTTGGCTGCACGCGCCTATTTGCTTGTGGTTATCAAACAATTATTAGTCCTTTGGTCAAACTGGGTACATGAAGCTAAGCTTTAATTCGAAAGTACAGAGTGGATTCTTTGAGGTCATCGTTACAATTTCATGCATATGCACATATATGCACAAAACACTTACATGTATAGGCACAAAATCAGTTCACGGTGAGGAATCCTATATGATGACTGACATTAATTGTTATTTTGGATCTTAAAAATTGGAACGTGCAACACTGCCAAGATCCTCAATGTCTTAGAAAATAAGTAATTTCTTTGTACCAGATCAATTGATTGGTACCT